AGCTCTGTTCTTTCAGATATAACCTCTCCACAAGGAGGGAAAACAGGATTTTAAAAAATGTGTCAGATGGGATTTCAAATGATCACTTAATGGCTATTCTCCTTTGTGAGGGGGAGGAACGTAAACTGGCTCCCAGGTGACTTGCTTGGCAACAGAATGTTGGAATTGAGTCAATCCTCTGTGTCTCTCTGTCTGTAGTCTGGTTCCTGAACCAGGTGGGTCTGCAGTATTCCAGGGCACAGCTGATGACCGACAAGCCAGCCTGGCTCATCGGCAGGACGTGGAGGGGCCGACTGGGAGCAGGGATTGTTCCCACTCAGCTGTTAACCCTGCAACTAAAGCCACAGCTGGACAAGCAGCGTGAAGCTTGCCAGGCAGCACTCTCAAACACAAGGGATGGGGTTTTAGCTCCAGCCTAATCCTAACTCACACTCTTGGGTCCCACCAACCTGTGCCTAATATTCTCTCGATTATGTGGGCAGGGGGTGTCCATCCAGGAAGACAGCTCACATTCCATAACAGACACAGGAAAATAGGTGGCATATATATGTGGAAATGTTTTGTCTGGATACTCATAGACATGGTGATGGGTTTCTGTATATATCAGACAGCCGGCTGATCAAAAATAATCAAAATGGCCAACAGGCTTTAGGGCTGAATGGCTTCTCTTATCTATTTGATAGTTTTAGTTTATATGCTGTTGGTGCCATCATCCCAAGGCTTGGAGCTTACTCCACATGTATATGGACAACACTCAATTCTACCTTCTGTCACTATCCTTGGCTCAAGGCTCGCTGCTGTTCTGCCTGTCAGACTTCAAGTTCTGGATAAACCTTAACTTTCTGCAACTCAAAATCGATAAAACAGGCTATCCTACAGGACTCCATCCGTGCCACCTCCCCTCAGGCGCTGACAAAATTGACTGCTCTGGTTGTCCACTCCAAGCTATGGAGCTGAGTGGAAACTTGATGTTTTGTTCTACTGTCAACTCTGTCAACTTTACATTCAGGTTCTGATGAAGTCTGCTTTCCTCCATATCCATTATCTGCCCCGCCCCCTGCGCCCCTCCCCAACCGCTTTGGAAACTTTACCGAAAACAGTCTTTCACTATGCCTTTGGCCATGTCCCCCAACTCCCTCCCAGCCTGGGTTTGTAATCACATGTTGTAAAGTGCCTGCAATGTGAAGGCACAATGACAACAACCTCTCTATCTAACTTAACCTTTTTAGACCCAAGAAGTCATGTCCAATTTAAGGGAGGAAGAAGTTAGAGATTTGTCTAGTATTATGCTGGGCTCTCGAGTTATAATAATAATAATCCTTGCATTTGATATAGCGCTTTTCGCATCTTCTAGACGTCTCAAAGCACTTCACAGAATATTCTGTAAAGTGAATTAACCATATAGGAGTTATACTGTCTGAAATAAGTGGAAGACATTTATTATAGTTGCCTTTCCCAGTGATAACATAAGCAGATTGTTCTATAGTTATAAATAATTTGCTTGGATATGAGGAGGGGAAGGGGAAAGGAAGAGACAATATTTTCCATGTTTATTTTCTATGTTGTGAGTTTGGGCATTATTATCCCCCCAGATATTTGATGCCATTAATAATAATTTTTGCATTTGATATAGTGTCTTATCACGTCTTCGCGACGTCTCAAAGCACTTCACAGAATATACTATAAAGTGAATTTGACTGCATATTTTGTGGGCGAAATCCAAGGGATGGAATTCATACCTACGCAAGGGTCATATCCTTAGAGTTGGCTATAATATTTGATGTGTTGAAAGATATTCAGCAATTTAGCAGACTGCCATTGGCATATATTGTTATATTTGGTGCTCTGTTCCATCAGCCTGCACTGTGTTCACCCTGTGGTCTTACAGGAAACAAAACAACTTGTTTCTCTGCAGCATTTTTTATTGTCATTTGAATGTAGATGAATATGAATCCAAAGTAAAAGTACAAGTGCAGGCATTTGCAGCCAGATGGTCACATATTTAAATGCAGGGTTGCCTGCCACCCAAATTCACCTGCCAAAGCAGCAACATTATTGATTGTCAGTGAGACCATGATCGAGTGAGCAAATGATATTGAAGTTTGCCTGATGCACAACAGAGCATTTTAGCATCAATGTCACCATTCAGCCAAAAAACTGTAGTAAAAGACACAAGAATAGAGGAGAATATTTTGTTTATTTTAAGGAATATTCCCCGCCTCCCGCATTAGAAAAAAAATTTAAACAAACAGTTTAAGAATAGTAATTTACACCTTTTATGATCAAAATGCAAATTGTAAGTAATCAGATGCCAGGTGAAGGAATGTAAAAGTGAGTAAAACACTCAACGCCATTTCATCCATTTCTGTGCCTTTCACATGATAAAGACATGATAAGACTGCCTTTGCTCTCTATGAAAATATAACTCATTGAATTAAAATTACTGATGTCATGCATTGATCATATACCTTTTAAAAATCTGTAATTTAAAGACTGATGATTTACAAATATATACATTGTAGTAAGCCTACATTATTTATTATGCATTAAGAATCCCAACTGCTTTGAATTTCAGTAAGACAAAAGAAAACCAAAGTACACAGCACTTCAGTTACAATTAATTAGTTATAGAGACAGAAAATAAATGTTTTTTTCAGAATTCAATTTAATAAACTTCCCCAAACTCATAAAGTTCAAAAATCATACATAATGTAAATATTCATTAAATACTATTGTGCTCAACACATAATCGGGATAGTAGAATTTCATTATCATATTGAACAGAAAAGTAAATTCTCTGTTATAATACCAGATCAGAATTTGTATCCTATATTGCCAGAGGCTCAGAAACAAAATTATCTTTGTTAACTGCAAATAAATTGAACTGCATTTATATTAGCCCCATAACCAGCATATGTGACCTAATACATTTGAAACTTTGATTAAGATTATTTAACAATATCAAATTTATAAAATAACAAGGTACAGCATTTATTGAACTGCAATTTTGAACAAACTGATACAGAGGTACATGTTCTTTACTGCACAAAATAAAGAAAGCAGTGGAAGGTTAATCTAGATGTTAGTCTGCAAGCACTTTCTTCAAGTGTGTACATTTAGGTGGCCCAAGGATCTAAATTTAAAAATGTTTACATAAATTATGCCAACATTGGACATACTGCAGTATGAATAAAACAACTGATCTGAGGATTATGGTTATGTGACCCTAGAAAGCAGAAAAAAACATTTGAGTAATTAAAGTAAATGTCTGGAGAGATGTTATTGACTTCTTTCGTAGAGTGAACACCATATACAGCGTTACTGTCAATGAATAAATGTTCTGACCTTGTCCGAGATAAAGTTTGTACAGAAGCCTGGAATTATATAAGTATCAAAGAAAAAAACACACTGAATTCACTAGTGAATTCACTGTATACAACAAAAGTATACAGACTTGTTTGTATGCACACAAATAAAACACCACACATCTCTGGAAGCTCATCCAATTACCTGTTTGTGCACAACAAAATGTTAAACTATGCTTGGCCAAAGTTGGGCATTTCAAGCAAGGTTAAGAAAAACTGATTTAAGTGTGGGCACCTTCAAGCAAACAGCTGACAACACTATAAGGTACTTCTTACGGCACTACTGTTTAGTCCAGAACATACACACTAGTACTATACTTACATTAGCAAATGCAGTTGCAACACACAAATGTAAATGAACACAGTACAAGATTGAGAAAAATATGATCATGCCAATTCACATTGTACAAGTCTTTCTAAAATATTCGATAATATTATGAGATTTCAGTAGAATCAAAATGAAGGCACATTAAACAAAACGAAAGTAATTTACTAGGATATTTAAGGAATGAAATACTTAAATATTACCTTAGGCAAAATCATGCAAGAAATTTAAAACTTAAGAAGTCATTTGAGCACACTTTCATGTACTTAATAATTAAAAGAATCCTAATACACTTTATCATCCTTGGCAATACTGATGATATATAGAAGTCAACAGCATTTTATTGCTGATTCTATTCTATCGCTCAGTACATTCAAATGGTCACCAAAAGGCAGAAAACAAAAGATAACAACATGTGAGTAATGACACATATATTTAGCACATATTATTTGCATTTACACCCTTTAAGCCCTGTAAGATGAGATCACATACATTTTATAAGATAGAACCAAAACACTCTGCGACTGGATTATAAAATAAGGAGAGGNAAAAAATAGTACTGTGTAGTATACAATGTATGATCATTATAAGGCACAGACTTACAAGTTGCAACTTTGGAATATAAAACAAAATTTATTCTGACTAATGTTGGCAACACAGACATGTCCTTTTACCAACATATTTTACACCGTTGTAGCCACTCATGCAGATATTACAATTTACTGCTGAAGCATTGCACTTATCCCATTTAATCAAGTAATGAGACAGAATTCTCCACAGCTCAATAATTCTGCACCTCAAATTAAAAACATTCCAGTGTTAATTCTGAAATCTTACTGCTTTCATTTCAGACTTCATCCTTGAGCTCTTGTTTCTTGCCTCCCAGATCATATTTCAAATTTTCTTGCACTTACAAGATTGCACTTTGTCACAGAATCAATATCTTCACACATAGGGATTCAATAACCTATTTTTTTTTGGTCATGTTCTTAACATTATTTTGGGGACAGGTCTTTAAATGCAAGCAGAATTAAGCTATTCTTAGTAGATGAATGAGTGGGATTCACTTCTTCAGTGTAGCTGCTCTCTTGTGTTTATTTTTAACCCATTGAGATATTGATGCTACTTCATTCAATTAGCATTGTATTACAGAAATATAACCTGAGAATTGAATTGTGAGAAAACAGTTCATTGACCCAAATGGATTTCTTGTTTATTGTTGCATGAAAGACAGAAAGTTTTCACTTTTTCACCTTTTCTAACATAACATTTTTTTCATAAAATAAAATGAAAAAAAAATTTCCCCGCCTTTGATTTTTGTTTTTCTATTGAATCAGTAGACTTGACATTTTTTGAAAAAAGAATGCATCAATGCTTTTCAGAAGTCTTAGTAAAATGTGCTTATAGTTATTGCGCCTCAGGATCGTAGATGATGCAATTTTTATAACAGTTTATCAGGCAATCTGAGTAGGAGCGAGATTCATCTTAACCGAATTCGGAATGTACTTATCTCCATTGGATTCAGGTGTATTTCACTAGTATTACTGGGCTCTGGTAGAGTATGCATCAAAGTCAAGGATGATGGAATCAGACTTTGAATTTTAACATTTTTAAAGAGTTTGAACACAGGAATCTGCAGGGGAAAAAAAAGTTCAGTACAATCAGTTGCAGAAGCAGAAATCTTATATGCACGTACAGGCCACTAGAAAACATGTAAAATATTGTTCAGAAAATCCCAAAGTAATTTTGTTCCAGTGTATTACAAAAATATGATGTATCATGGCAATGGGATTGAAAAAGTGCTTGAACAGGAAAATTATAGCTCAAATGGTGTGAACGTTCCAAGAAATATTTTAGATGTAAAGTGCAGAGAATTCTATGTACTTGAGACCTCTAGTTGATCTCACAAGTCGGCATCACACATGTAGGACTTGCTGTTTGTTTCCCGCCCTAGCTTTCCAATTCTAAGCCCTTACCCTCTGGATCTCCCTCCTTCGACTCCTCCTTCTCGTTCCCTTCTCTATCTGTCTTCAAATCCCACCTTGAAAACTACCTCTTCAACTGTGCCTATGGTGACCTCCTTCCCCTCTCTCTACTACTAGGTGTACTTCCCGTTATGTTCTGTGAAATACATCAATACTATTGCATGACTACCCAGAAATAGGGGTCATCACATACAGAAACTTGTGAATGAATATTTTGGTTCTTAGAGCAAGAAGCTACAGAACAAATGGCAGCATAGGGGAACAAGTGCAGGGCCTTACAATACGAAATCCTTGATAGTGGGTGACCACCAATTACTCTGTTAATGCTCATAAGGGTATAGCCAATTACACTAACTTGTCTTTTAGCAATTTAGTCTTTCCTCCAATATCCTTTTGAAGGAAGTTCCGCTTTGTTTTAGGGGAGCAATCTACATAGAGTCAAAGTGCATGGTCCATGTCATGCTTTAAATGCCAAGGAATCTAAAATAACAATTGTGGGTTCAGCAACTGTTACTTAAAAAGATAAAGAATATTTAATTGCCAGCGAGTGGATTCAAAACCAGATTGCTTTGGGTGACACAGTAACATAGCGTAGTGCCACATTAGTGAAGAATGTCCAAGGAAACATCGCTGACCTCAGTTTTTCCGTCTAGAGGTTAGGTAATAGATTATTTACCCCTTTAGCTATTAGAAGCTGTGCGCCCAGGGAGATCAAGAGTACTAGGGAGAAACTGGACAAATTTAAACCCTTTTTCAAGAAAAAATTTCAGATTTTAAAAAAACATATAATGTACTGGAGAAGAGTTCAAGAAAGAACTTTAATGCTCTAAATCTAACAACATGAACTATTTTATAATAATAAATTACATTTGATATAGGGCCTTATCATGTCTCTGAGACGTCTCAATGTACTTCACAGAATATACTGGAGAGTGAATTGACTGTATACTTTGTGGGTGAAACACGGCAGCCAATTGTGCATAGCAGTGTCCCACAAACAGTCGTGGATTAAGTGATCAAATTATTATTTTTTTTGAGAGGATTATTACCCCAGAAAAGCGATCCGCCAATCGACTAACAACTGGGTTCCTACTTACTGCTATGTAAACAGAGGCGTGTGGAGAAAGGAAATTTGCCCAACATTTCAACCTGTCTGGGAATCGTACCCATGTCCTCTCGCTTGCGAGGCGAGTGCCCTAACCACTAAGCTCAGGACTCCCTAACTTTTAATTTGATCAGGAATTCAGACGCTCACAATAGAAGAATCTTGCAATATTACCTTGCCCCGAGTCGTGGAACATAGCAGTCCAGTGTTTTTATTTGAAAATCTACAATCAAAACCCTTTCTGTGGATGATCAGGGCAGTTTCATCTGATGGGATTCCTTCCTCCTGCAATTACAAATCATATTACATTCATATTTGTGTTCTTTATGTATTGCAATGAACAGTATATCTTATCTGCAGTATGATCTTACAATTTTTAAAAAATTGCAGAATTTTCAGAAAATTTGAGCATATTAGATTATAATCTAATAATCCCTAGTCTATATATAGGGCATGAACTCACAACCTTCTTACCTAGAGGCGAGATTGTTATCAACTGAGCCAGGCTGACAACTTACCATTGCAACTATTTGTCGTCCTTATGTTTTGAACTGAGCTTAATCTCAACATGCAAATTAATAGATTGCCTTTTCACTTTCCAATCTATCATCATATCAGACGACCTGGTTATATAGTCCTCCAAAACTCTCAAGATCTTATACTAGAAGTTTGCTCTTGTTCTTTCAAAAGGAGGGGGTAGTAAAGAGATTGCAGTGATTCAATAAAGTTCAAAGCCACCCTTCCCCCCCCAAAGTTTCAAATACATGGAGTCATAGGCCAAACTGAGGTTACACAGGAGACATTTTTATAATACAGGCCCATGATGCTTATGAAGTATAAGTAAAAGATCAGATAACCAATAGGCCCCAAACTGTTAAATGTGACCAATATTGTTTCACATTTGGATGATGCATATTCATCTGTTGGAGGTTGAGTTAATGAGCAAGAAGGATCTTTGTCTCCCTGTTTTTATTATAGACTTCCAGAAATCAGAAACACACAGTGCATATCGTAGATGTACCTCCACTATGTATCTACTGATGACCCCAATATGCTGGGCACCATGATATGGGATGTTAAAAATACCTTATTTATTTGAACTGCTTTTAAAAGAGGTACTGATGTTAAGATACCCCCTCAAATGACTGCAATAACACTCAGCTTGAGACACAGCAACATATCCAATATATAAGAAGATAAATTTGTCTTGTTTGAGTGAAATCATCAAATCAAGCTTCTAAGAAGCTTAAACTATAACAAAACATCCAATCTGCAAAGGATCTGAAAGGGTGGATCAATGCTCAGAGCAGATATGTTCAAGTCCAAGCTATTCGACTTTCTCTGCTCAAATCTTGTGAGAAATGCTGTATGTGTAAGGAAATGAAGGCAGTAATTGTAAAGCAGCTTTACTTTTCAGATGTCAGAGAAACCTTGTAGTTTCCAAACTCATTCCTGAAACAATTTCCCTGCAGCCTGTTTTTCTGGAGTAAGTCATTGAGATCTCCTTGTCAATCATCGGAGCTGCTTCAGGGTAGAGGGTCCATTGGTACAGGTGGACCTTTCTGCCCTATGCCATTCTTCTCCCCCGGTGGGGGTGATCAGCAGAAAGGCTTTGGAGAAACTGTCTACATGTTATTGAGACACTAAGATTAGGAGCAATTCTGTCTCATTTGATTACAACTCATTGTGTTAACGTAATAGCGTCATGCTTCATGATGATTACAATGGAAAAAAAACGCAATTATATTTTCACAAATATCACGAGTGTATACGGATCATATTCCACAGTCCTTCACCATGAATTTTGTTTGAAATACACATCGAGTAAAGAGTTAAAAAGACAGAATCTATAAATAAGTATATTTAAATTACAAAGAGGGTATTCTTTTTAGCAGATTCCATTGTAAGGTATATGATATATTTGTAGTGTATATCTGAGGGAAAAAGATTATTTTGAATGTCTGGAATCTTATAGTTTTAAACCATTTGCTGTAGAATGAACATTTCAGAAAACAACAGTATGTGCAAGCATAAAATTGTCAAAATTGTCTAACTGTGGCAGTATTAGCACAACAAGTAATTCCATACAATGAGATTTATTTCCCTTTTGTTTGTAATTGTTTCGCACATCGGTAGCACAATAAATAGATAGAAAGAGGATTGACACTGCAGTCTACTGGAAATGTATGGATTCCATCAATACTATTCCCTGTTTTAATCCACCAGGACACAGATTTGAGAAACAGTAGAAAGAGGATTGACACTGCAGTCTACTGGAAATGTATGGATTCCATCAATACTATTCCCTGTTTTAATCCACCAGGACACAGATTTGAGAAACAGGTTGGTTCACCCAGTTCAAATGACGCTTGAAGTAAGATTCAAGCTGTGGTTGAGCTATGGCTCGATGACAATTTTTTTTCCAACCCGTAATTAGTTTCTAGTTTGAGATTTATTTAATTCATTCTTCTTTTTCAACCCTTTTGATTTGGCTTTGATTATTTTTTAAAAGAATGATCAGTAGTACTCCTTTTCATCGTAGATTGTATACAACCACTTATTTTTTTACTAGGACAAATTCTGGCCATGCATTTTGTTAGACAAGAGATTTTGAAATGAATGCCAAATGAGACCATTTTCTTCCATGATTTTGCAACATTTTGGATCAGTACATCATCTTGCATGACGTTTGTAGTTTTTCATTGGATAACATTAATCCTAAAGAGATCTCTAATTCTACTAAATTATTTCTCAAAACATTGTAATTTTTAGAAAAGTAGCAGAAATCAACCTTACCGTTCCTCCTATCGTTCTCAGATTAAGTAAATGCATGTCACATGGCATGGATGATGTAAGAGGACTGAAGAAGTCGGATAGTGGTGGGATTCCATCATCATTCATGTTCACAGGCATTGGAATAATTGGGTGATTCAGATAGGAAGATGTTATATGGCTCAACAATGATTGGTAATTCACTACTGTTTTGCTCTCCTCCTGAAAGATATGCACAATATGAATTACACTGCATTTTCTCAACTTCAATAACAAGCAGTTATTCAGCAAAAAGATCAACTCAACTGCACACATATTTTACATGGGAATATATAGGTCATATTTTTCACCAGATGAAAGAGACCATGGCATCAGCGGGATCTATTCTGTGCCATGTGCAAACATTGTCTAAACATGCACTGTGTGCTAACATATATTTAAAGAGGGATTTATAGGTGTCAATAGTTATTTACCACCAAGCTGTCGTTTAAGCTGCTAGTAATAATCTTGAGTTTATGCCCTCTTGTTGCCAATTTACCCAACTCAATGGTTGATGAATTGGCAGCCTCTCTATTTGACTGTGCTTTTAGTCACATGACTATTCATAGGAATTTCTAGATGAAAAAAGATCCAGGTCTATCTTGTCCACCTACTATCATCCTGATAGTCGCATACCACAATAATAATGGAGACGTTGATAGCAATTAATTCTGTATGGATTAGTCAACCATCACAGTGGAAAGCTTTGGGAACCTTAGATCCAAAGTTACCTAGCTCTTCCAAACATACTTCACTTGTCATGTCTCAAATTACTTATATACTGTATCCCAAAATATTATTTTCTAAAAGAAATCTATCTAATTTGCATTTACATGAATTGACATGATCTGCTTCCATCGTCTCCCTAGGGAGCCTGTTCCACACATTTACCACTCTCTCACTAAAATTATGTTTCCGCAGATTTGGTTTTGAATTTATCCCCCTTCAATCACAGAAAACATCACGTGTGTCAAAAGACTCTCAAGGTGAGATGTGGTCGGAGCCAAGTTCTCACCGGTACAGGGAAATGTCTCTGCAGGAAACATTTATTCCATATAAGAATGGAAATCAGGTGTAAATGGTGTTTTTTTATCCTAAGCACAATGGACTTGTGGATTAAAACACTAGGAAAGGACACTGAAGCAAATAATAGAAATGTGTTTTCAGAGGCAGTAAGTGAGGTTTCTGAAAAGAGAACAGATTGATAGATCTGATGAGAAGGCAAGCAATTGAGACTGACACCAATGGAAAAAGGAAGTGCCTATTAGACCTATTGTCCTTTTGCTGTTAATAAAAATTCTTATGTTTTCATTAATCCTGGATTAATTCATAATACATTAATTTCAACAATGATGATACTGGTACATCCTAAAATTGGTTACTATCAAATACAAGTTAATTTGTGATATACAATGATTTTCTCCGAGGGATTTTAGGGTTGCACGTGAACACTACAAATACTTTGTCACATTAGTGTAAAAAAGGTCATGTGGATTCAAAATCTCTTATTTCCACAGCCTTGGTAGAATGTAATACATGTCAGAATAATAATGCAATGGCTTTGAATGAATTTACATTGAATGAATTTGTACAGATTCTAAACATTCCTTGATTTATGCTGGAATATGTTTTTCTACAAAATTATTCAAACCAGCCTGCACTTGACACTGGAATTGTATTTTAAAAGTTTTTGTAAATCTGACAGAGATATTAAGCTGATGCATAGTGTTCCTGTTTAAACCAGGTGGTGAATCCACAACCATAATCAAAAAGGACTGTGAGGCAAAAGTATCAAATCTGCATTGTGTCCATGCAATAGGGATCAAATGCATATCTTGCATGGATTGTGACAGATAAGTCATTGACAATGTACAGTATTATTAAATCCATGCAAGTTTGTTTCTTTAAAAAATGGCCAGGAGTATACCCTTAAAGGTAAGGCTTTTTTTAATGCACTTTAGGATGCTGTGCACCCTCATTGGGATCAGACCCAAGAAAGTACAACAAAAACAACAAAATTACGTGTATAGAGCGCCTTTCACTTCGGGAGGATGTCCCAAAGCGCTGAACAATCAGGTGTCGGGGCCTGAGCATGGGGGAGGAGTGGTGTAGGGGTGAGGGAAGGCAGAGAGGTGGGAGGGCGAGCACAGGCACGGTCGAAGAGAAGTGTCTTGAGACCGGCCTTGAAGGAGGGCAAGGGAGGAAGCGAGGGGAAGGGTCCGTGGGATGGAGTTTCAGAGTGTGGGGGCAGAGAGGCTGAAAGCCCGGCCACCGATTGGTAGGGTGGGTCGGGCGGGAGACATGGAGCAGGCCGGAGCCCGCTGAACGGAGGGAGCGGGCAAGTTGGCAGGGAGTCAGCAGGTCAGAGAGGTAAGAGGGGGCAAGGCCATGGATGTCAAAATTACATTTATATAGCGCCTTTCACATCGGGAGGACATTCCAAGGCATTGTACATCAGAAAGTAGGTGGTTCTTACCACCATAATGCATAATAGTGACATGGGCAGAGGAAAATATGCTGAGCTGTTATTATTCTCTCTTTCTGGCACCTGATTAAGTTTGATCTTCAGAATGATATTAATTTCTAATACATAATTTGCTGCTTTCTATGGCTTACAGTAATAAAATATTTGTTTCAATATTTGTTTCCAGTGCAACGAAAGTGGGAATCTAGAGCTGCGCTGGCTGACTCTGAGCTGACATGTTTGACAATGGAATATCGGAATCAAGTCAACCCTCTATGGTGATCTTAGTAGCCAGTTTCCTGAGCCAGGAGGAGCAGCCGCATTACTCCAGATGACTGCTGATGGAAGGGCAGAATAGGCACAAGGTGCAGGGATTTTTTCCACTCAGCTCTTGTTAACCCTGCAAGCCAAAGTACAAACAGGCAGGGTGGTCCTGCCTAGACAAGTAGCGGGAAGCTTGCCAGGCAAGGCTATCAATGCCAAGCTATATAGGTTAAGCTCCAGCAGTATCCCAAAGCACACTGTGGGGACGCCAAACCTTCGCTTTTGCCAACTTGCACCTAATACTCTCCGGAATTAAGTAAACAGGGTGAATCCCTCCAGGGAGAGAGTGTGCATTCCATTCCAGACACAGAATTTCCTATATGTGTGGAACTCAGCAGTCTGGTTTTCACACTTTTAAGTATGGTGATGGGTTTCTGCATAGGTCAGACACATGGCTGACCAAACAAAATAGGAATATTGCTCAAATTAATGTTGCCATTGTATAGTTGAACTTACCGCATCCACTCCAATTTTTCTCTCCAATAAGAGTCTGAACAAATTGGCTGTTACTTTGTTGTCTTGGAGACCTTGACCCAGACCACGGTTGTCATCCTGCATTAGTCTACGGTCCATTATAATTTCCAGCTGGCCTGTTAACGTCAATTAGATGTATTGCACTTACATGAACATGCAATTCTGCATGCTAAACAAAGCTATTGTGGTTAGCAGCCACTCTGGACATCAAGGTTCATGACAATGCTAATTATTTACTAAGGATGAAATTAATAGAAAAACAAAAATGTATTAAGAAGCTCAAATGAACTCTTTTAACAACTAAACCCGAAATTTTAAGCAGCTCTTTTCCGTAAGCCAAAGTGTCTAATTCAGGAAAGAAAATAACAAGAATGATTGCACAATCTGACACTACCGTAATAATTTAAAAAGTGGAGAATTGGTACAGTAGTCAAAGTACAGAATTTTTCAGTAAATTGATAATCAACAACAATATGCATTTACATAGCGCCTTTCATATGGGGTATATTCTTGGAGTGGTTAACAATGGTGTCGTTGACGTTGAACTGGGGAGAAAAGTGAGGTAACTGTAGGCATGGTTGAAGAGGAAAGTCTTCAGGTGTGATCTTAAGATGAAGAAAGAGGGGAAAAAGTGGAAGGATTGAAGAAGAAAGTTCCAGTGGTTCGGGGCTGAGTGGCTGACAGCACTGAAAGCTGATGGTGGAATGGAATGGTGAAGGAACACTAAGAAGGCCTGAATACACTGAAGAAAGGGGGCAGGGAGAGGAGTGGGGTGTGAGCAGTTTGGAGAGGTAGGGAGGTGCTAGGACATGAAGTGATTTGTAAGTGAGTGTGAGGAACTTGAAATCGATCTGATCTTCGACAAAGGTGCCTAGGGTGCCTAGCCAGGACTGGGGTGATAAGATATGGAGTTTGATATGCGGGAGGATACTGCATATATTATGAAAAAAAAGCTTAATTTTTTTATGATCTACAACATGTTTTTAATTTCTGTGCAACTGAAATGGTACTGTAATGGTCAATTAAGCTTAAATATTGCTTCTACTCCACCAACATTAAAATGTTCCTGTCCTGTTAAACCTACACAAACGACAATTCTACTATGTAACTGTACTTTTATGCCCTGTCAGATATCATCCAGCTCGTGTATCATCACCTTAAGAATTTTAAATTCAGCCTTTGTTTTGCACATCAGGTGTTGTACAGTATACACAGACACTATATTTTACAGAAACTTTGTGAAGAGCATTGAGACATCTCAATTTTATCAAATGAAACGTTTTTGTTCTAATATGATGAATCCATAGATATAAAGCAAGTAAATTCATAATTAATTACATTACTCCACACAGAGCCTAATAATAATCCCTCCAAAACCAAAAACAATAAATTGGTCATTTTCAATCTACGACGGTTTGTGGGACATTGCTGTGCGCAATTGGCTGCCGCGTTCGCCCACAAATATACAGTCAATTCACTTTACAGTGTGTTCTGTGAAGCGCTTTGGGACGTCCTCCCGACGTGAAAAGTGCTATATCAAATGCAAGGATTATTATTATTTTATTATTATTATTTTACTTTACAGAAATAGTGTATAATTAATCCAGAAATTCACTAAATAATTAATACAAATATATTGTACATAATTAACTCATACATTTTCTTCATCCTTAGAATTTAATCTCCTAATTTGCAGATGAGATGTGGAAATTCCTTAATTATTGAATAGGAAATAACTGGAGTTACTCCCTCACCCCACCCCCCACGACCACCACCACCACTACACTGTTCTCAATAATTATGTCCTAGAAGCCGGATTGCAAGTGTGCCTTCTGATTAGCAGAGTCCGACTCTGTGGAACTGTAGCTTTACTCTGAGTATTTTCTTCTGTGAAAGCTGCAATCCTGCCAAATGGCAGTGATAGCAATCTGTGACAAATTCACAAGCCAGCATTGAGAATGTTATGGGTGGGGAGAAAACCATTGGATATTTTTATTCAATACTTAGTGTTTCTGAATTTTAACTACAAGTTAACATCTTTTCCCAAAAAAAGAAAATGTTCAAAAAGACATTTAAATTTAAGTTTATAATAATAATATAATAATAATCCTTGCATTTAATATAGCGCCTTATCACGTCATTGAGACGTCTCAAAGCGCTTCACAAAATATTGTAAAGTGGATTGATTGCATTTGGGGTGAAAGTTTTTTTCAATAGTTTTTAAGATTACCAACCTAGTTTTGTGAGGTTGCACATCAATACAAAATGTAACTAAATTGGTAGCAATTTGAGATTTGATCGTTCATCATTTAAATCTGAGCATCAATCAGTCTTTCAGAAGCTGAATTTGCTTTTCTGGCATTTACTGTTTTTAAATTTAGATTTTCAGCATTCAGTTTTCTTTCATCTCTATATTGTGATTTGGTATCAAATCAATTTCACAGCAATTGCCTGGAATTGTGAAAATTTAATTTGCCAGATCCATAAAAACGATTCACTGCATTCCACAATAGTTTAGCTACCACTGTGCGATGGGTCACCAAGGATTTTATGCCAGAAGTACGTGAAAATAATAGTTTTATTTTTATGATGAAAGATACATGCTTGAATTAAATGAATCTAGAAGTTCCATTCAGGGGGTATCTATTTTCCCAGTTGGTTTCTAATGATCCAACAACACAGACTTATTGTTAGCTGCATAGGCATCAGTCTGGCTCAGTTTTCAGCACTTATTGCTTAGGGTTAGGTTAGGGTTAGCTTGTGAGTTCAAGACCCAGTTGGGAATTGAGCTTAGTAGTCACAACAATAAAATTACATTTGTAAAGCGCCTTTCACGTTGGGAGGTCGTCCCAAGGCGCTGAACAGTTAGGGATCAGAACCCGAGCGTGGGGGGCAGGGTTGGGGTGAGGTAGGGCAGAGAGGTAGGAAAGCGACTGAAGACCTGGTCGAAAGGAGGGTCTTGAGTTGTGCCTTGAAGGGAGGGAGCAAGGTGAAGGTGAAGTGGAGTCCTGTAGCTCAGTGGTTAGAGCACTCGCTTTGCAAGCGAGAGACCTGGGTTCAATTCCCGGCAACCTTGGGTAAGTTTCCTTACTCCACACGCCTGATAATAATCCCTCACGAAAAAAAACTTCAATCCACGACTGTGGGACACTGCTGTGCGCAATTGGCTGCCGATTTTCATCCACAAATATACAGTCGATTCACTTTACAGTCTATTCTGTGAAGCGCTTTGAGACATCTAGAAGACGTGAAAAGAGCAATATCAAATGCAAGGATTATTACTATTATTATTATTGTGAGATGGATTTCCAAAGAGGGGCAGAGAGGCTGAAATCCTAATCGCTGATGGTAGGGCGGGTTGGGCCTTGGGAGACATGGAGCAGGCCGGAGCCTGCTGAATGGAGGGAGTGGACAGGTTGATAGGGGGTCAGTAGGTCAGAGAGGTAGGAGGGGCAAGGCCATGGAGGGCCTTGAAAGTGAGGACGAGGATTTTGAATCCTATCTTATGGGGGATGGGGAGCCAGTGGAGCCGGGTGAGGGTGATGGGGTCACGGAGCCTGGTGCGGGAGAGGACACGAGCTGCAGAGTTCTGGATGATCTGCAGCTTGTGGAGGAAAGAGTTGTGGAGGCAGACAAGGAGGGAGTTTCCGTAATTGAACCTTGAGGTGACAAATGTGTGTATGAAGGTTTTAGCAGCCTGAGGAGTGAGGCAGTGGCGGAGTCGGGCAATGTTACAGAGGTGGGGGAAGGAAGAGCGGGTCATGGCACGGATGTGGGGGAGAAAGGACAGTTGAGGGTCGAACAAGAAGTCCAGGTTCCTAACTAGCTTGGTGAGGTGGAGTGTGCGTCCATAGATGCTAATGCTGTTAGTGTCCGAGGTGCAAGCCAATCAAGAGGGCTTCAGTTTTGCTGACATTCATCTGTAGAAAGTTAGATCCCATCCAGGACTTGATGTCTGACACTCTGTCAGGACGTCAGTTGTCCTGGAATCGAGGGTGGAGGCAGAGAGATAGAGTTGGGTGTCATCCATGTAAACAACAACCACAAGATTACATTTGCATAGCGCCTTTCACATCGGGAGGACGTCCCAAGGTGCTGGACAGTGTACAGCATTTCAGATGGTAACCCCATGTCTGTGGATGATGTCACAAAGTGGGAGTTTGTAGAGGTTGAAGAGGAGGGGACCGAGGACAGAATCCTGAGGAACACTGCACAATACTGTGCGGGGGCTGGAGGAGAAACCGTTGACAGAGACAAATTGGAGACAGTGTAAGAGGTAAGACCTGAACCATTCAAGAACAAATCCTTGAAGGTTGAGGCGAGAGGAGAGGCGGTGGAGGAGGATGGAGTGGTCCACGGTATCAAAGGCAGCAGAGAGGTCGAGGAGGACGAGGGAGCCCTGGTCACAGATGGAGAGAATGTCATTTGTGACCTTGACCAGAGCAGTTTCCGTGCTGTAGGCAGCACAGAAATCTGATTGCAGGGGCTCATAAAGGGAGCGGTAGGAGAGGAAGGCAGCAGAGAGATCGAAGAGGACAAGGAGGCCGAAGAAGCCCTGGTCACAGATGAACAACAACAAGATTCCATTTATAAAGCGCCTTTCACGTCAGGAGGACGTCCCAAGGCGCTGCACAGTTGGGTCATGACCCGAGCAGGGGGGAAATGGTCAGGGTGAGGGGAGGGAAGGGAGGGAGCGAGGAGGGGGGAAATGGTCAGGGTGAGGGGAGGGAAGGGAGGGAGCGAGGAGGGGGAAGAGAGTCGAGAGGGGAGCTGAAGGCTCGGTCAAAGAGAAAGGTTTTGAGACCGGCCTTGAAGGAGGAGAGGGAGGAAGCGGCGAAGGCACTGGGGGATGGAGTTCCAGAGCCTGGGGGCTGAGAGGCTGAAGGCCCGACCACCGATGGTAGGGCGGTTGGGGCGGGGGACGTGGAGCAGACCGGAGCCAGAGGAACGGAGGGTACGGGCAGGTAGGTAGGGGGATAGTAGGTTGGAGAGGTAGGAGGGAGCAAGGCCGTGAATGGCCTTGTAGGTGAGGATGAGGATCTTGAAATCAATCCTCTGGGGGATGGGGAGCCAGTGGAGGCGAGCGAGGGTGGGAGTGATGTGGTCGCGAAGCCTG